GGGCAACAGCGTGGGGTTGGGGTGGGGTGGGTCATGGTTGGCTTTGCCAGGAACTCATCAGGTCTGCCTGCTGAGGGGATGTGTGAGACTGGGGGCGTTTCCTCCCCAAGACCCAAGGGCATGCTTTCAGAGTGCACCGTCCTTCTGTGTTTCTGAAAAGATGGAGCCTGGGCCTGTGTCCTCTGGGGCCAGCTGCCAGCTCACCCAGTGTCCCATCTGCCAATCTGCTCTCCTCCTCCTCCTCCTCATTCTTCCTGTCAGGATCCTTCCCCTCTTCATCCCTGTCCCTGGAGTGAGTCTACAGACCCTTTAAGGGTCTCTCTGTGGGACTCAGACAAGATTGCAATACAAGAAGCTTGCTGTGATGGATTGAATTGTGTGCCTCACCGCCTACCCTGCTCCATTTATATCCTGTAAATCCAGACCCCAGTCCTTAGAAAAAAGTATCATGCTGGATAAAGTAGCAGGTCAGAGGCAAAGAGGAAGACCCTCAATGAGAGGAATGACACAGTGATTATAAGAAGGGGCTCGAGCATATCAGACACAGTGGAGGCGGCGCAGTTCAGAGCTGTTGTTCAGAGTCGCTGTGAGTCAAAGTTGACTCAGTGACACCTAACAACAGCCAATTTGTGTATGAGTCACAGGAGATAGGATTTTCTTGGCTAATGGAACCATATGAGTGTGGGGTGTGTCATAAACCTGATCAAAGTTTTGAAAATCTTACCTATCTACCTACCTATTAGTAACTATGGTGACCTAGTGGTAAGAAGCTATGCTGCAATCCCAAAGGCACACGGTTTGAATCCACCAGTCGCTCTGAGGGAGAAAGATAGGCAGTTTCCTCTCATGTGATTAACTGTCTCTGAAAACCCGCTGGAGGATCAGTTACATATATGTTGTTGTTCGGTGTGATCGAGTCACCTGTGACCCGTAGCGACCCGAGGTACAGCAGCTCTGAACCCTGCCCTGTCCTGAGCCAGTCTCGCTAAATCCGACACACCAACCCCCAACGCCCCAGTCTCTGTATCTTGTATATAAATAAAAGCTTATTGCCACTGAGTTGGAACTGACTCCTACACAGCTGATTCGCTAGCAGGTTTTCAGAGCCTGTAAAACTGCACGAAGGAGATTGTCTGTCTTCCCCCCACGAAGTAGATGGTGGATTTGGACAGCCTGCCGTTGGGCTGGCAGTTCAACTCCTTACCTCCATGTGGTGGTGTTGTCATTGTTGTGTACTGTCGAGGTGGAACTGACCCATAGCTGACCCTCCAGCAGGTTTTCAGAGGCAGGTAATCGCACAGGAGGAGACTGCTCGTCCTTCACCTGCAGAGCGACTGGTGGCCTCAAACCGTGTGCCTTCAGGATTGCAGTACAGGTTCTTGCCACTAGGCCACCAGAGCTCCCGAGGCCACTATATATGTGTATGTGTATGTGTATGTGCATGTGTATGTGCATGTGTATGTATTATGTATGATGCTGCCAAGCCAAAGGTGGGTAACTCTAATTCGTGGCCCTCAGGCCTGTTTTCATTCAAGCATTCTTCTAGGTCGTGTAGCCTGGTGTGTCCACTCACCACACAGAGGTAACTTGTGGTTGCTGTGAAGCTGAACACTGTGACACTGATGTGTCAAATGTGCTAATGGTTACCCATGGTGGACAGTGTTTGGTGGAGCTCCCCGAATAATAGCTTGTCTCTGGAAACCCTATGAACCTGGAGAGAGGATGAAAGTCATGCAATTGTTGAGGACTTTCATTCATGATTCACCTATGACTCGACGGCACTTAACAACAAGAACATATGCATATGTATATGTACCTGTACATGTATATGTGTATGTATATCTGTCTATGAATTTCAGAATTCTGAATTTCAGAACCATCTCAGGAACAGATTTGAGGCTTTGAACACTAATGAACGAAGGCCAGATGAGTTGTGGGAGGATATCAAGGG